GCTAAGATCCAAGCTTGGATTGAGCGTATTCTTATACATATTCCAAAGATAATTGAGCTACAAGGTGGTAATGAGTATATAGAGGGGAGAGATAGGCGTTGTGTAGGAGAGCGGCCAGATTTCGGCTAAATTATTCTTGGCAGGACAAAACTTTTGTGAGGCACCTCCGTAGTAGTTTTAGTAGAGGGCTTAGTAGGTAGTAGTATAACTCTATTACTACTCTTATAGCTTACTATATCATAATATTCTACTATTTTTATATTTTATAATAATAAAGCTTTTTATTTAAGTATACTTTACTTATTATAAGATTTTTTATTATTATAGTTGTTATAGGCAAGAGAGGCCTAACTAACGAGTATGCATTCACCTATTGTATAGAAGAAGAAAGATATAGAAAAGAACTATCTAGAGGGCCCTCCTTTTATAGTTATTACTTGTACAAACGCTTAGACCTTTAGTCTTCTTTTTTACTTAAGCTTGTTTGTACGTAGCTAACTATGTTATTTAGTTACGTGTAACGGGTCGAGTCCTATTAGACTGCGCACGCAACTACAACGCGCCCACCGCGCCAAAAAGGCTGGCACAAGATATCAGAGCTGCTGATATCGTTGCGTAGTTGATACATAAGATAGCCACCGCTATCTGTACTGTAGCGGGCTACCTAGCCCGTTACATTACGTAACTAAAGTTATGTAATTTACTACTATGTAACCTATAGGTCATACCTCTCTAGCGTAGCCCTTTATAATACTCTTCTCCTTTACCTTGTCTAATATCACGTGCGTATTCTTTAGTCTTCTTTTCCTTTCTCTCTATCTATTTGCTATTACATGTTTAGCGTCTTGTATAGTTAAGGTAAAGGCAAATAGTAAAGGTAAGAGAGAGTTAGGCAATAGTGCTATATAGCAAACGCTGTCTAGTGAGCATAAATACTCTTCTTCCCCTACCTACTGCTTGTTTCCTCTATCCCTTTAGCTTTAACTTTTCTTTTATTATAGTCACTTCTTTAAGTCTTCTTATACAATAGCTAATTATAAGATATAGGCTAATAGCTAAGTTAACACCTTACGTTTCTATATAAATAGTAGAGTTAATAACACTATTAAGTAAGTAACTACTTAGATCTTTAACGTTGCTTATTAGTTGCTTACTTATACAACGCTAGGTGCTATCTAGGCTATAGCGCCTATTATTATTAGATAGGTTAACCTTAATAACTACTAGGTCTAGTACATTTTTAATATATAGGTTGCTAAAGAGATTTACTTAGTGTTTGCTACTACTTCTATAAGTGTCGCTTCCTTATTATACGTCTAAATTAGCTAACTAGTGTAGCCTAAGTGTAAGGGGCTGCGCTCCGGGGAGCAATCGCGAGGTATACAAGAGGTTGTATTCGATAGAGAGCTATAGAGTCTACTTGCGTGGTGTTTATTTACTTGTCGGAGAAAGGTTGCACCGAGTGTCTGAGCGCGTCGTCTGGGCGCCGCTCAGGCCTCGCACAGATGCCGAGTTGCAGAGTAAGACCTGGCGTCTGCTGCTTGACCGAGATTCCATCGAGGAGCTATCCAAAGGGCGTTCAGCCCGTTACAATACCCCCCTCCTTAGGGTGGTACTGCGTCGCCTCTTCGAAACCCCTCTGGGAGGCGGCCCTCGCTGTCTCGCGCAGCCTCCGTGAATGCTTCCCATCGGTCCACTGCCTCAACGTCCTCTAGTAGTTCTGCTGGTTCGA